TGATGGATGAATATTTGATGTGGCTCCATCTATTAATACTTGTTAGAACAAATAGCAGGAATGCAGAGGGAAAGATGGACAGATATTCTAAAAATAATAATACAGACATATCAAGTTTTCCGCATTTATTTCTCATTTCAAGCATAGTGAAACCTTCTTCCCACCCATTAGAATTGGGACCAAAAATGGTTATTTTTATTCTGAGTTTTTATTTGAGAATTCCTCAATATGTCCCAAAATGGTTATTTTTATTCTGAGTTTTTACTTGGGAATTCCTCATCATGACCCAAAATGGTTATTTTTATTCCCAGTTTTTACTTGAGAACTCCTCATCATGACCAAAAATGGTTATCTTTATTCTGAGTTTTTACTTGGGAATTCCCCATCATGACCGAAAATGGTTATTTGTATTCTCAGTTTTTACCTCAGAATTCCTCATCGTTATATTGATCGACCTCAATAATCTATTGAGGCTATTTAGAGCAGGATTACTCTTAGATAGATAGATTTTTTTTATTTGTCCGGAAGATAATAAGAAGAATGATTAATTATTTAGTGTCCCATCAGTTCTTTACTGTCATAATTTCATTATTCAGGTATAAAAAATATATTTTCCTTATTTAATAAATATGAAAGTAATTATAATTATATATATATACCGTAAGCACATTAGTGAGCCACATTTTAGGCAATACCGTAAGCACATTAGTGAGCCACATTTTAGGCATATATTAAAGGTGTAAAGTGAATTCTGAAAATTGCAATATGTTCTCCCCCCCCTCCTTCACGGATAACGTACTTACAAACAAACCAAGTTTATAAACGATGCGTGAGACTAGTATGAATTAGGTTAAATCAGATAATTTCCTTTGGAGAACGGCTGTCGTACAGTGCTCAAGAATTCAATATTAGTTAATGGACAGAGCAATAATATTGCGAAAAGAGGTCAAAGGCAGTTGATAGATGGGCAAAGTCTCAAATTCGTAGAAAAGTGACGTATTTTTTAAGATAGTTCCATTAGCCGTTAGTAACACGTGACGAGGGAACATATAGTACGTTCCACTATAACGTCATTTGTTTACTAAACTGTGACAGTCATATAAAGATGTTTCTGTACTGACGGGGGATTATCACAGATTGACTTTATCTTCTCAGTCAATTTCGTAACCCAATAGGTTTTTTTTCTCTCAATATAGATTTATAAGCAAGCATGCTTCTCTTACGTGGCCTTTTAAGAATACTTATCAAGAGAAGCACGTGTTATCCATCTGGGATCATCGTCCTCTTCTCCAACCGATTCTTCAATGCACAAAGATATTTACCAATAGATGAACGAATGTGTTAGGTTGATAAATAATATTTTTCTGAGATTTTAATTGATACTTTATGCAAACCGATCCGAAACTTTAAAAGATTAGTTTTATCACATAGATCTTTAGTTACTTTCTAAGTCCAGAGAAAGGCCCATTGTTCATTTGGTAATTTATAACAAGAATTTCGCTCGAATAAGCTAGAGTGAAGTAAGCTTCCAAAGCAACAAAAGCATATTTCTCAGTTAATTTATAACAAGCTGTTATGGTGGTGAGAGAAGTCAACTGATCTTAAGTTTTTCCCATGTTTTTCACCATTGCAACTCAAAAAACAATAGTATATCTATTAAAAACACAGCCATTTTAAACAAACGAAAAATCAAAGAATCCATCTTAATTGAGCAAAACAACCCTACTCTAAACCAACACCCCGGGGTGCCTAGATACCTCTTCTAAGTTTCACAACAGTATCCGGTCATGTAACTTCTTTGTTCAATACTGTATATATATATATATATCCGTGTCAGTGTACATTACTTGTACCTGATGATGACAAAACATTGTCGAAACGTTGTACATTTGCCGTTATGTTAAACTTATATTAAAGTTTTTCTTCATTACCCTTTCAAACCGTCTTCAGCCATTATTAGTCTCAAAGCGGGTTCCTCGTCATCGAATTTGATCTTAAGAAGAAGAAAAAAAGGATATTACGAACGTATTCTGTCTTAGGATATTGATACACTGTGATGTTGGTTGATATAAATTGAACTCTTGGGATGGTAATGGCTGTAGAAATTAGTACTCTGTGACAACCTCAGACTTCTTTTACAATATCGTGAATTAGAGAGATACCATTTTGAAGAATATACAAACAATGAAAGATAGTACTTGTGGTTTGTAATTTTTTAAACAGAGGTTCTTTCGTCACCCTTTTTTACATTGCTGTGCGATATATTTTTCTTGTTCCCCCAATACTCAATGGGCTCTCTGTGCTATGCCCACCACTGGTATCGAAACCCGGTTTCTAGCGTTGTAAGTCCGAAGTCATACCGCTGTGCCACTGTGGAGGGGTCCTCCGGTGAGACAGCGGTAAGATTACGAATTACAACGCCCAAATCTGTGATTCGATCCCCGCAGTGGTCACAGTAGATAGCCCAATGTGGTTTTGCTCTAAAACGAATAAGCTATATTAATTGTAGGTTTTTAAGATACACTCAAAGCTTATAATAGAATTGCTATTCTTAGATATTCTAATTCAGGGGGCGAATCCTCTATATTTTTGGAAATCAAGCTAGTTTATTGCACTGACAATAAAACTCAATTTATGAATCATACAAGATTACTAGCTAATAGCTTTATTTAGTTTTCTCTGATCTCCGGTCTTGTGGTGTTAACGTGTTGATATCAAGATATTTTGCCATGTTAATACTTTAAATTCTATAAAACGCCGGTTTACGTTCTCTTTAAAATATCACACAATTTCTATACTTATACACAACAAGATATATGATTGGAGAAGCGCCAAATACGTTGACGAAATCTTTAAAAACATGACAGTACTCTTATATAACACCATGTGTCACCATAACCACAAGAAATACCTTGCATGGGCTGGTAGTTAAGGCGCTCGACTCGCAGGCAGTGGGTTCGAATCCCCGTCGCAAATACTTGCCGTTTCTGCCGTGAGGGGTTTTATGGTGTTACGATTAATCCCGCTATTCGTTGGTAAAACAGCAACCCAAGAGTTGGCGGTGGGTGATGATGACTAGCTGTCTTCCCTCTTATTGTTCACTGCTAAATTAGAGACGGCTAGCCCAGATGGGCACCACCATGCTAGTCTTTCCGAGAATCACTGATGCTACATCAACATCTAAGGACCCCCAACGGTCACAAGCGGCCTCGTAACTAAAAACATAAATAAATAAATAACTACAAAAACAATGAAGTTATAAAGACGTGTATAGTTAACGTTACCTCCTGTAAACCAGAGTTTACCTCCTGTAAAGCCAAGTTCCACTGTAACTCATTTCTTTTGAAGAAACGTAAAAGTCTGAAAGGATTTTGGTGGCCAAAGAGCATCTGTCCTAAATCTTAACGATTTCAATGAGTATTTATGCAGATAAGCTTATTTGTGCTGTTTTAAGCATAAATGGTATTTGTTTCTTATTTTTGTATTTATGTCAAAGCTACTAAGGCTATTTATAGCCCTGCTTAATGTTGAAATATTGACCAGATGGAAGGCAAACAATCAGCAGCACCATCCACAATAAACGATTGACTGTCACTCTTATAACAATAGCACATCTTATAATGCGGTAATATTTTCCGGTATCGTGCGAATTTGAGCCCGGCTCGCCAGTTCCGAAACCCATTGTTCTATCACTGCAGGAATCAAACCTGTAATTTTAGTGTTATAAGTTCTCAAGCTTACAGCTCGTGCAGGTCAGACAAACAACAGTCGGAGAAGTAAATAATTGTATGTTACTTCTTTGTTACCAATCAGATTTGGTATGTTTATGTTTTTATTATAAGATTAAATTTAACATATTCTGTTTTAGTTTGAAACAACTCTGTTATGTTTATGTTTTTATTATAAGATTGAATTTAATACTTAGAGTGTTAGTACTCTACCACTTTAGAGAGAACCTTATAGTAACCACTTGGAGTGTTAGTAGTCTACCACTTTAGACAGAACCTTAGGTTACTATAAGGTTCTGTCTAAAGTGGTAGACTACTAACACTCCAAGTGGTTACTATAAGGTTCTCTCTAAAGTGGTAGACTACTAACACTCCAAGTGGTTACTC